CGCTACGAGTGAAAAAACTGATTTTAAAATCTGTTTACCGTTTTGAATAAGAAACGGTTGAAGCATCGACAGTTCCCAGAGGAAAAATCGCCCCACCAGTTTCTGGATATCTGAATACAAACTAATCTTCCCAGGCGGCTAGAAATTTCTAAATGTATTCTGCCAGATAAATGCATAATAACAAGGACGAAACTATTTAGAACAGTCGTTATAAACTTTATACGACTGAAGAACAATCATATCAGACGATTACCTTTAAACCGCTTCCAGTTACACCTTCACGGCTAAAAACAGAAGACACAATAAGACGCACAGGTAACGAAATTCGGGGTCAATGGACGCTAGCTAAAACCGAAACTGATGTGGTAACTGAATAACGGACAACGAGTAATAAACTGCTGGCGAAAGCAAAACAATTAATTGCAAATTATTTACTGTCGTCCTACAGCAAATGAGTAAATATATTTGAAGATTACTGAACACGGCTCCAGTATTCTCGCAAAGAGCACAACACAAACTAGATTCAAATTCAATGCACAGTTTCATTTATTTCCTTAACATAAAGGCGGAATAAGCACTATTAATCAGTCTTCAAAGAATCCCTAAACAAGACTACACTTCTTTATACACATATTATAAAAGTCGATTTTGAGAAGCTCAGTCATCACGGATTGATTGGAGGCCGGAAATAACGTACTGGTTGCCCGTAAGCCGGTGATCACGCTGACTAAGCTCAACTCTGAAATTTTGCTACATGAACTGATAGCAGAATAGTAAAGTTTATGATAAAACAATGTGGAAATGAAAAAGTCGTTCCGTTAACTTCAACTCAGAAATAAAAATATTTAACAAATAATTTTTTTGAAACCCAACACCTGCTTCAAATTGGAAGCAGAGTTCCAGCCAAAAAATCCACTGGCTGACAAAAAATGATATTAAATATTTTTCGTGAAATTCATCCAGTGACGAAAAATTAGCGAACACTGAGCAGGAGTACAAAGAAAGTGAGAAGATTCCAAAAATTTCCATATAGAGAAAAAACTTGAAGAGTAACCCAACATAAAGGGTAAGTTATACACGTCTAGTAGACGGTGGGACTAGCTGAAGAAATACCTCTTAGAAGTGTCATAATTCCTCCTATACGGTCTTCCAACACCCCACAAATTAAACGGAAGGGATGTATATAAAGCAGCAGCAACAAAGCCGACAGTAATAACCCCGGAATATAAGTATTCGTACCACATCAGAGTTGGTGCTGGTTTCTAAAGAAACAAAAGTTTCCAATCGAGATCAAAAGATCAAAGCCTCACCCGAATACAAAAAATTACAAAAACTAAAAATCAAAAAAACCTCGTGAAACACATCTATTACATGCCTGATACTAAAGGCGCATTCAAGTTACAGATGAAGAAGTCAAAAGCACTTAGGAAACTAAAGACTATTTCCAGTTGAAATAAGGCAGAAGCAAAGTTAGACAGCAGAAAGCTGCCATATATATAAATATAACTTAATTTCCTGACCAGTTAAAAAAGTAAGTTTCGAGATCAGTGTGGTAAAAAATTCTTGGAGACTAGCTGATTCCTGAATACAAAAATAAAACTTAATTTATCCTAGTTCCTTCGATATAAGTGCTCGGAAATCTTTTTTTTATTTATTCGTAAAAACTTAAACTTTACAATCATAACTTAGGTGCAAAAGGAAAATTCCAAAAAATTCCAATCATACACTGTACAAAATATACTTCTGAGAAAATTTCTGTAAAACCGCACAGGAAAGTCATAAATGCTAAATTGCTTTTAAACAGCCAATCAAAAGTATAAGACATTGGTTACACTCGGGACTGTTACGGAATCATTTGCAAAGACGTCAGCTTATGCCTGACATGCCGCAACGGAAAGACATCCATCAATCCTGCACTGGCTGAGAATCTGGCTAATTTCCAACTGGTTACATTTAAACTTTTGCTTATTCAACGGGAACAGCACTGAATTTCCCTGCCAGTGTGATACAGACCGCTGTTTTACCAGTGACCTGATGTTAACCGCAGTTTGGAATCATATACTTTCACTGGGAAATGGTTTTGATGGCTTCTGTTGTAACCAGCATACGCTTGGTTTCGTAACTGCAGACCTACAAATATAGGTCGTTTAAACTATGTTCTCGGTACTTTTCTGCTGACGACTTTGCAGTTTCTCAGTCAACTGATCACCCCGATGACAACTACTTAACTACAGCTGTTTACTTTAATGCAGAAATGAAGGTAAACTAGCGTACAAGGTGATCAAAAAGTCTATTAAGACGAGATTTTAGAAACACGTTTTTGTGTTTATGTAACGTCTGAATCCCTTTTGTCATCTCACTCTTGATTTTGCATTGTATTCTAGCTCCCTCCCACTGATCCTACAAATGTTGACACTGGTCTCAAAATATCAATAATGGTATTAGCTTGATGCGGGAAAGCATACGTAAATTAAATACAGAAACTTATTAATTGATCGCTGATATCGATGAATATTAATTGTCGACCCTCAGGATGTAACTAAATCGTCGGATAAGTCGAACGACAGGGAATGGACAGATGAGTCTAAATTTTCCGAGTTTTTCATTTGAACATTGTATCCGAAATAGTGGGAATTTTTATTTTAAGGCTTGGTAGTGATGGTCTCTTTAATTGACGACAGCGTTAATAATGGTAATAACAATAACGGTGATAACAGCAATAATATTTATGAGGCGCATAGAAATGCGAAAAAATTTTCACTAGGCAAAAACGCAAAAAGTTGGTGAAGATCTGGTCGCAAATTTAGTTAATTGTCGCAGATTTTCTAAGTAATCGAAAAAAACCCTAATTATCTGTCTCGTCATTACCTATTTTTGATGCCGTTACCGCTGTGAAAGTCTTAAGTCCAAACTTTGCAAAATCTGTTTTTTTAGCTCATTTTCTTCTTGGCTGAATTTTTTAAGGCTGAAACACTTGGGCAGCAATGACCATCCCCAAGAAACGAAAATTTGAATTTTATCTTAATTCTGCACAAACGAAAGTATCTTTACAGAAAATCCTGTTTTTGAATCCTCTAAGGAGGTAAAAAAAGGAATAGAGATCGTCGGAGAAAGAACAAACGCAACAAACGTAGATAACAGATAAAAACTCAGCTAGAAAACTGATCTGCGAAATTTGGTAAATTTTTTTTTCTCAGATTCAAAACCTCTATATATCTTCTTACATTTTTCTTGTTTAACAATCGGTTTACGGTTCTGATTTTGTAAGGAAAGGAAGTTACATGGAAAAATGACTGGCAGTATTCATCTTTCACATTGAAAAGTACTCATTATCTTTGAAAACTGATGATAGGGGGAAAGAGTTCGAAAAGAAAGGCTTTTTCAACTGTACTTTTTAATCTGACTATTTTTTTATCAATCAATCAAAGATTCAAAATAAGTGTAGTTGATTTTAGAGTCATTCAGTGATAAACAGTTTTTGGTGGCATAAATTGTTACGAATAAGAAAAACTGTCATACGTACATTCTCCACTTAGATTTTTATTAAAAGTAATGTGTAAAAATACTCTTTTTTTATTTTTTTTTTTACTGTACGTTTCCAAATTATTAAGCTACGATACCGCAGCTGAACAACTCCTTCATTTCACCAGTGGACCTTACTGTAACAATTTCCTGTACGTTCCCTACAGTCCATAAGCTTTTGAAGCTATTACTGCTTGAAAGCTAAATGGAAGGAGAAAAATGTACATTTGTTCTACTGCTTACCTTCATCTGTTTGGTTAGTACATTTATGATAACTCCCACTGGAATCTCAGTACAAATTTACAAAAGATTTTAATTTTTATACTTTTATCTTAGAAACGTAGTTACATACGATGGGAAAACAAATTTAGCGACAAATGCACTAGCAGTAGTTACGATCATCAGAAAGAGTCCCAGTTCAAAAAATGGTTGAGTATTTGCAAATACTAATGCAGCACCCGCAACAAACGTCGATAATGCAGACATCAGAACCGGTACAGTGACGTGTGCATAAACTGGTCTAAAATACTTTTTTCAAATTAATACCGATTTATATAACCAACTTAAGTTTTGACTGAAAGTTTGGAAACTGGAGATGCAAATGAAATAAATCTTTTATTGATATTTTGCAGAAATGTGACGAACAGTAAAATGCTGAGGCACCTGACGTTTTGAACTCCTAAGCTTCTAAACGATACGGCGTAGTGGAGAGTATAATCAAAGCTCATTCCGATCGTCAACACAATTATCGTTGCTTCAACTACATTTATCGACCAGCCTAATAGAGAGTATGGATTTTTACGTGAGCTATACAAGTGGAAAGTTGAAAATTTTACGGATAATTAGGGAAAGCAGCTACAAGTGTTAAAGGTTTTTAAGTTACAAATAGTTATGCAACTATATGCAATAGAAGTTGAAGATATTTAACGTTTGAATACTGATAAATTTGTAATTCACGGTAAGTTTTTTTTTAAAAACGCTGTGAATCGTGCTTTTTTTCTTTCTAATTATTTTATAAGTCATAGCAAAAGTGTGTAACAGAAAAAAGTATGCTGAAATATGATATCAATAAATACCTTATTTAAACTAGTTATATTTAATAAATTTGTAAAAAGACGGAAGCAGAATTTCGTTACACGTTCAAACTTGACTTTAGCTTTATTTTTTTGCTGATGAGACAACAACTTATTGCATCAATTTTGAAGCATATAGCTGTTTTAACTGAATTTTTTTTTTGGAAGAAAATATTGATAATCCAGATGAAAGAATTCAGATTTATAAAAAAATTCTAACACCTCATATACTGAATTGAAAATTTTCTGTCAATGCAATTTTCGCTCAGTAATTCAATGACAGAAAAATTACTAACTAAGATGTATAAGTTATCTTTAGATAGCGTTTCCCTTACCAATCCATAAAACTGTTGCAATAGTCATTAAAACGATCAGCGAAATACAAATAATCGTCAAAAATGAGAGTGATAAACGAAATGTAGTTGCAGTAATAACTGCCATAGAAATTCCCAATGAAACAAATACAGAAATTATAGTATTTTGTGGAATTTGTTCCAACAGATCGTATAGTATTGTTGACTCCGGTGGACCAGTTATGATCGGATGAAGACTTGCTAAAAAGTCAATACTTATTCTCCTGTTGAACATGCTGTTTAATGAATAGACGTCACTTCTTTTTTGAAAGTTATCTTATGGTAAAAATCTTTCTAAAATACAATCTTAGGAACTATTTGAAGAATTTGGTTGTTTGAAGTCAGTGAACGCAACGACAGAAGATACAATATTTACGGTTTTGTTACAAACGGTTTTCGTTGAACTGCCAATAAACATTAACAATAAATAAAAATATACACTTCGCTTTACCTTCAAATGATTCATTCTTAATCCACCTTTCCACTTTATCTACGAATAAGTAAAACTGTTTCATCTTTCGATAAATCAGTGAAAATTCGTATTTACTTTGGGTAAGTAACAAATATCCAACAAGTCTTCCGTTTGATACATAGAGAGGACCATCAAGTGTTTCAAGCGATTGCGTATAAATTCGATTAGTTGGATTTTTTTTACCAAAATCGAGAAAACATTTATAAAGTAGTGAAAAGTTTTTCTAAAATTTGTCAATAAAAAAGTGAATAGAAGTAGGTACATTATAACAATTATAAGGTTCGAATTGTTAAACAGTGTTTTATGACTTAAAACTTTAGAAGTACTTCAAGACTGTAAAACAACGGTCTTGTAAAAGCACTAAATTTTCACAAATCTACTGCACCTTTAATGCTGTCCTGACAAAATTATCCTCTTACATATGTAAATATTAACAATTTCAATCTGTCTATGCTTTTTTTTTCAAAATTATTAAGCTAGTTAAAATTTCACAGAATTTTACTTGTTATAAACTTACCTAATCTATTAGTGCTAAATTTAGCTGAAAAAATTCTTCAGATCAGATTAAAGTTTAGAAAAAAAAATATGGAGGACTTACCGTTCCTTCAGCAAGCAGCAGTTTACAGTTAGCATCGCTGTTGTTTGCCCACTCAATAAATCTGCTGATCCACAGATCCTTAGGTCTAGAGTTTCCATAACGTTCTACCAACGACTGTACCAAATTCTGTAAAACGTCACCACAACTTTGAACTGTTTATCTAAATTAAGTTACTTTTTACCCCTAATTACTGTGTATCACGTGATTATTACTTAGCGTAAAAGTACAACAGTTTTATAATGCCTCGCTTCTGTACACCTTGATAAACTTTCGAAATATTCTCAAGAAAAATTCAAAGAACTTTAAAACAGATCTCAAAATGTAGTAGCTATTTAACGAGCTTTGTAAAAGCTACGACATAGGTAGCTGATTAATGTTCTTTTTAGAATAATAGCCGCGACTGAATTTTTATTACTGTTTTCAGTTACACGCAAAATTCTGAAGATCCTACATTTTAAAGCATTATATTGCTAGTCAAGATGCAACAACTAATTTAGTTTTTTCTAAATAAAGCTTTCTATAATAGTCTTGTCAAATAAATCAGTTTTTTTCAGCATTTTTGAGCCTATAGAACTTTTTAGATAAGTGTATTTAGAAACTTAATCAAGATATTGCTCAGTTACCGCGAACTGAAGTAAATTCTTTGACAGAACTTCTGGAAAAGCATCATTGACACTGAGTTCACCTCTTGAGTACGGATTTACTCTACTGGCTGTGCTGAAAGAAAAAAGTGATTTATTTATATGTTTAGCGTGCAGAAAAAGTTTTTTTGAAAAAATTGAGAATATATTTTATTTTTACTTCGAAATTTTTGTTGCCTTGGGTTAAATGCTTTAAAATACCAAAAAACCACTTTACAAGGTAGGTTTAATTCCCCAACCAGCAATAATGTTCATTTTTCGTTTCGAGCCAACCGCAAAGTCGAAAAGTTGTTCAGCATTTTCGTCGAACCATTCATATGGATGTTCACTTCTAAGTAGCTAAATATAGCTTTGTTAGACTGCTGCTGATAAAACGGTTTTAGTTAAATAAAATCAGTGACTGCAAAAGTGATTTGAAATTAATAAATTTTTATCTTATTATCGTTTAGGTTGTATGTAATACATCTCTTGTTTTTTCAATTACCTGCATAGAATTATTTTCAGGAAGTCGTACTCCAGGCTTTTTAACGATTGCATAAATAGTGATAACAAGAATTATTACGGAAAGTGGTATTAAAATAAAACGTGTTAGGGAGACAATTTTTGGAGGCCAATCCACGCATGCTTTTTCGGTCATGTTAGAAACTTCATTTTTTATTGTATCCCAAATTAAATTGAACTTTGAAAGGTAATATTTATGTTGATTTTTGATACGTCTTTTTTCACAAACAATTATTATTGCTGGAAGTGCTGTTATGACAAATAAATAGTTTATAAGCATTGTTGTACCAGCATACAAACCAAAACATCTGAAAAAAAGCGATTGTATCTTTGTCTTGAAATATCGTTTGTTAGTTGCAACAATTATTTCCTTTCAATAGGTGTAAAAATAAAAAATGTTAAAGATTGGATCTTAATACGTCATTGGTCTCAGTAGATGTTGATGGGTATTACAGATCATAACTTGTATTCTAAAGGAACTAATCTTACTTGAGCACAATAATGCTGGAAATAAAGTTGGTGAAGAAAGCGATAGCTGTAGTTGCCGAAGTGACAAACATCGCCAAAGCTGCATGAGCTAATGCTGCATTCATAGCCGACTGAAGTTGATTTTCCAACTGCAATCTATCAGTGAACATTTCTTTCATAACAAATGGATTACACTTTAAAATTTCTAAGTTTTACAATACAGATTCTGAACAAAAAAGGCATTGTAATCAAGCTTTTTCTGACTTCTATTTACTCCTGATAATCTCCAATGAGAATCAATACTGTAATAAGCAGAGTAAAAGGGGAAAACTAAATGGCAAAATTATGGCATACTTCATTACAGAGTAAAATATTCTTATCTTTTTCTTCTTCGTCCAACTCAGTACGTACGTTTGTTAGCATTATTTGCACTTGTGTTTCGTTTATCTTAAATATAAACGTTAATCTGTTGCTATATTATCTCTTTTTTTTCGTTTTTATTATAAACGAAGCAATACAGCAACCAATGCGACAAAAATTACTTCAAGTCCCTGCCGGAACTGATGTAAAAAGATAAATACGTCATCGGCACCTACTGCAATGATCAATACGATGGCCATGAGATTAAGAAATGGGAAAAATTGCATGCGCATTATAGCCTAAAAGAAGGAAAAAATTGAATAGTGAGAAATTCATGTACATAGCTGGAGAAATTTTCGTTCCCAATTTCGCATTTTGATTTGCTGTACCTAACTACATATAACTTCTACCGTATAAAAAAAAAATGCCACTCCAGTAGATAACATTAGTGCCAGTGACACTAAAACTGTAATAAATAGATCTGAGGTGTAGGCGAGTATCAGCAACAGTACCAACAGTACCGCTATGACTCCATAAATAATGTCATTTATAACCAATCTTTCAAATGTTTGTGGTTTTACATTGAAATACGCTCCAACAAATTTTAAGTTTGAGTCATCAAAACTTTCTTTCAGTTGCTTGAGTAATCGCTCATAAAATTTGTAGTAACTGTAACTGGCATCAACCTGAAATAGAGAAGTGGTAGTTAAAAGAAATAAATTTATGTATTTAGAAGTCGAGTAAAAAGCATAAAAATTAAGCAATAAAGAAAAAAGAAAAATAAATAGAAGATAATGATGAATGTGTTTATGGCGGTTTGGCTGCAATATTCAGTACTTAAGATTAAGCCATTTAACTTAGCAGAAGTTTATTTTTTGACGATAATAAAAAACGAAGAATAACTATATAACTATATTTAGGCCCAGTATTTCGACCATGGTACAAAAATAAAAGTTTTAATATTTAAAATATTCTTACAGGCAAAATGACAGCAATATGAAAGGGTTTATTGAGTTTATTGGAGCTAATTTGATAGCTTTTCTTGGAAAACAGCAATTTTGCTGCTTGAGAAAGGTATGGCTCAGGACAGTTCTCCAACTTGGCACTGTTTAGGCACTGGGACATTGCAGTGGCAAATGAATTAAGCCTTAAAATATGACGATTTTTAAAATGTTAAAGCATTCGGTAATTCAGTTAAGCACAAAACTTTTCTGCAATTTTGTAGTCCACAAAATGCAAAATGATAAATTTTGCTATTAAATTACTATAAAATTGCAATACAGGTGTTTTTCATTACTTTAATAAAGATTTTTCTTCTAAATAAAAATTAATTAGCGAATTTTTGCTTGAAATAAATTGGCAATAAAAATACAAAATCATGCTTGACATTTAAGCTAAGTCTGTTATTATAGGTCACGTAGACGGTTAATTTCTGGTTAATAATTATTTGATCCTGGACACCAGTAAAGTCATCCTTACAAAGTCTGATTTAAATCAGAGCAGTTAGCTGGTTGTTGAACATCAGCTGTGCACATAGCGTAAAGCGGTAAATTATAGGAGAATAACAGCCTTTTATAATTTTTATTTTCTGGATACTCTTGTTGAAATAATTTGTTGACGGTTTCATCGACGTTACATAACCGTTGCATCGTATTCAGTTGAAACAGCTAAAATTGTTTGATTACAAAAAGATTTTGATACTTAAAAGTCGTCCTTGTATAAAATTTTGGTTAAAAAAATTTATACACTGTTAACCTGTTCCATAGAATGTAGTTCAAATATGATTTTTGAAAATACTTCTATATATTCATAACGTATATGACTGCCGGTCAAACTGTACTGTTTACACGGTGTGTTCAAGTAACGTTCAATTTCTGATTCTCTCTTTGTAATGCTAAAAAGTTTTGGACATTATAAAATTCTGTCAAAAAAAGATGAGAACTATATAAAAGAAAAAAATTCGCATAAAAAAATGTACAGTTTTATTCTTGCTATAAATTCCCCTTACAGATAAATTTTTAGAGTTTTTTATAATTTAAACAAAAAAAAAA